GCAGTGATTTCCACTAATTTGTCTTCTAGCTCACTGATCCATTCTTCTGCCTCATTTAGTCTATTCTTGGTTCTTTCTAGTGTGTTATTCATTTCAGTAATTTTATTCTTCAACTCTGGGTATTTATATTTTCCAACTCTGCTAAAAACTTCAGTCTGCATCTGTACTCCTCTTGGGTTCTCTGAACATCTTTGTCATCGTTGCTCTAAACTCTTTCTTGGATAAATTGCCTATCTCTTCATTACTTATTTCTTCTGGGATTTTATCTTGGGCCTTGGCCTGGAAGATATTCCTCTGCCACCTCATGTTGTCTATCTTTCTATCTGTATCTTTATATAGGTTAATTACATTTCTCGACCTTGCAGAAGTGGCCCTCTGTGGGAGATGTCCTATGCTTCCCAGCAGTACACTCCCCTCTTGTCACCCAAGGGCCAGGGTCTAGCTGGTCCCAGCATAGAGTCTGGCCTGTGTTTGTGGACTCCTTCCACAGGCTTTGGGATTATTGTTTTCTTATTTCTGGTATCTGCCCACTGGTGAATAAGGCTGGACTAGAGGCTTGTGCAGGTTTCCAGGCAGGAGTCAGTGCCTGCCCACTGCTGGGTGAAGCTTGGTCCTGGGCCTCTGGTGGGTAGGACGTTTGTGGCTTAGGAGGTCTGCTGATGGGTGGGGCTGTGTTCCCACCCAGTATGTTGTTTGGCCTGCGGCTTCCCAGCCCTTAAGCCTACAGGCCGTTAGGTGGGGCTAGGTCTTGGTGACAATGATCCAATCAAGGTGTCAGCCTCCAGGAAAACTCATGTAGATGAACATTCCCAAAATGTCTGTGACCAGCTTTTTTGTCCCCTGGTTGAGCTGCAGCTGTCCCCTACCTCCCCAGGAAACCTTCCAAAACCAACAGTCAGGTCTGGCCCAGGTTCCTATGAAATCACTGCCTCTGCCCTTGGACCTGGCATATGCAAGATTCTGTGTGCTCTTCCCAAGAGAATGACGTCTCTGTTTCCCCCAGTCCTGTGGGGCTCCTGGAGCTAAGCCCCGCTGGCCTTCAAAACCAGTTGTCCAGGGGTCTCCTCCTCCCAATGCCGGAACCCTGGGCTGGGAAACCTGATGTGAGGCTCAGGACTCTCACTCCTGTGGGAGGGCCTCTGCGACTTAATTATTCTTTAGCTTGTGGGTCACCCACCCAGTGGATAATGGGGCACCTGCCTCCTACCTTCCCGCTGTGATTCCCTCTTTATGTTTCCAGTTGAAGAAGATCTTTTTTGCTGGGTTCCAGTCTTTTATTTTCCCCCGATGGTTGTCTAGCAGTCAGTGGTGGTTTTATTGTAGTCATGAGGAGAGGCGAGCTCATGGCCCTACTCACTTCACCATTTTGACCATCAAACGATGTATGTATTAAAATAATGATTTGCATAGGAATCTATTCTCTTCTAGACTTGACTAAATCATTGTGATAATTAAACTGCTGATATAATGTGGATTTAAAACCTGAGGTTGGCTGGTTTACATCTTTATCATGGGAAGCAGTCCCAGACACCTTAATAAAATTAAATGTACTGTATTTAACATCTCCACAACCACGACACAGTGGTTATTTCACCATTTAAATAGTGTATTTAACCACATTAAAATTGTTGATGGAAAAGTTATTTTTAACATCCAACTAAAGAAATATTCAGAAAAGCACAAGTGAAAAAAGAAAAATTAGATAAAATACAACTTTATAGCAATTTAAAACTTTGTGCTTCAAATATAACCATCAAGAAAGTGCAAAATAACCCACAGAATGGGGGAAAATATTTCCAAATCATGTATCTGATAGGGAACTTATATCTATAAC